TCGCTTTTAAACTGGAAGGTACTAATATTAGTGTTCAGCTGGACCCTAAGCTGGTCATTGAGCTTATGCTAAAGGAGAGCATTAAAGATCTCAAAAGCAAGCGAGCAGCCGGTGAACCAAGGCTCCGGCTAGTGGGTTTTCGGGTGGTAGGCAAGCGGTGCGTCTCCGACCTCCAGTGTCCGTTCTCGTAGCGCATTACCCAGGTCCCGACCTGGGTTCAGCTGGTAAGCAGGATCCCAGTGGGTTCGAGCCTATTCGAATTGATTGTAGCGAAGACCGAAGTTAGTAGGCTGTTAGGAGGGCTGAGCTCTTCTAATTCCTCTGGAGCTGATTTACTTCACCGGAAACCGTTGCGAGGTTTGGCTGTAGAACTAAGTGGACAGCTCTCTATCGTGTTTCAGCAATCGACTGGCAGCTGTGAGCTACCTTCCAGAAGGAAGGTAGCTGTCATTTAGCTCGTCTGCAAAATGGGGAAGGGAGTCTGTCTGCAACTTACAAGCCAATTTGTCTGATTTGTGAAACTGGAGAAACGAATGAGAGAACAATTGGACAGTCGTCTGGGTAGATTTAATCCACTTACCATCGTACAACACGGATTCCAGAAGGCACTTTCTGGTCTGACGAATCGATTCTTGGCTGGTAAAAATTGGTTCGATGCAGTGGATAACGATCAGGAACTGGACGTGTTTTCTTCGACATTTCGTAGGCATTTGGCAATGTACCCTAGTTGAGGCCTGCATAACATCGGTCCGCCTACGGGGTATCTGGCCACGCTCTTCATATGGGGACTGCTCCCTTGGACGGTAGAGAACAAGGTGAACGGGCGGGCCCTGACCTATCGCTCAAGCAGCCTGCCCTAAGTGTCCTGCCGCGGGGCTCTGTACTTGGTCCGCGGCTGTGCTTCATGTAGGTGAATGACCTGCCCGCAGAGCTTCAGGTTGCATAGCTGATAGTTGCTGCTGTGCTGAAACGTTGGAATATCTTGGGTGTTCTTGGTGGTTTCGAAGCTATTCAGCGAGCCTTCGATAAACTTTGGGTCGGGCTTAGTTTATGGTTACTACCCATAAACCACTCAAAGGTCTCCGTTCTTCGAAATGAAAGTGCTTGTCTTCCTGCACTGTACTTGGGCGGTAGGGTCGAACTCCCCGTTTTCCTAACAAAGTTGAGCTCGGCGTAGTAGTCTATACGGCTTACACTCCTGCGAAAAATGGAAGAAGGCTGCAAGCAGAAGTTTCTGCATGTTTGGTTAACACGACGTTCTTTCGGAATCTTGATGGATGGCACCATTTCTGGACAGTCATCGGATTTCGTTCGGCCTCATCTGCTTTCATGCTTGTCCGCCCTGTCTAGCCCGGGACAAAATGGAGCGACAGAGGGTATTACGGGTGGGTACTAAGTTAGTTGAGGAATTACAGGGACAGGCATATCTCCAGCGTCTATTTAGTTTGGGAATGGATTCAATGCCATACCGAAGGCTTAGAAGAGGCCTAATCCTGACCTACCGTATCGTAACAAGGAAGGTTAATCCAGATTTATCCTGGCTATTCAGGCCTGCTGTCTTGTCATTGCTACGCGGTCATTCTAAAAAGTTGGACAAGCCGCGGTGTGAGCGGAGTACGGCAGAAAGCCGGCTGTCACGCCGAGTCATATAGCGCTAGTACATGCTTCCGGAAAACCATATCAGGCAATTTCCTGGTTAGCGGTTAGAGCTGCAACTTGACGTTCTTGGCTGGCAACGCGAAAGCTTTACTTTTTCTGAGTAACTCACATTTCCCAACTTCGAGTTGCTTTCCGCTACTTTTTTTCATGCATTGGCTTTATCCTTTAAATTGAAGTGAACTCCTTACTATATACCTCCCCTTTCCCGCCTATGTTTTACTTACTTCACGTGATGGCCACAGCAGAGAACGCTGGTGCAGGAAACGCGAGAAACAACTCCCGTCTATTTTGGATCTAGTGTTTGCCAAGTCACTAGACTTCATAGGGGACATCACTTACGGCTCTCCCTTAGGTGCTAGTGATCATGTTTGTTTATCGTTCAGGTGTAGTCCGACCAGGCGTCACCAGAGCATTGCTAAGCCATTTCCAAACATATGGCGTGCTAACTATCAAACAATGTGTATCAAGGCTTCTGGGTTGCGTTGCGAAATCTCGGTGGTTGATACGGTTCAGGCGGCCTGGGATAAACTTAAATCTTATCTCACGGAAGTGTCTACTCCCTACATCCCGCTTGCGAGGAGAAAGGAGACACGGGCGCGGCCGCCGTGGATAGATACCACTGGCAAACACCTGCTCCAGAAGCGTTCTAGGTGCTGGAGGACCTACCGTGCGGCTCCATCAACTAACACCTATGCTAGGTACCGCAAGGCTAGCGATAGGTGTAAACAACACTTAAGGAAAGCTCGGCTGGTGTACGAAAAGGAATTGGCTGATGGAGCTTCGGAAAATCCGAAGAAGTTCTTCGCTTATGTTAAGCGACACTGTGGTTCAACTTCGGTAATCCCAACTTTGATGAGGGCCGATGGAACTCGTGCGTATGCGGACTCAGATAAGGCTCGCGTACTTGGGGAACAGTATGTAGGGGCTTTTGTACGTGAGGCCGCGTTGACTAGCGTTGAACTTGTTCCCAGAGTACCTGATGGTTCTTATTTAGCTGAGTTTACTGTGGTGAAAACGCAAGTCCTTAAACTGCTGCAAAAACTGAACCCTTCCAAAGCAGCTGGACCTGATTTAATTCACCCGAAGCTTCTGCACGAGTTGGCGGGGAACTAAGTGGACCGCTGACGATGGTGTTTCAGAAATCACTTGACACCTTACATTACCTTCCGAATGGAAGGAGGCTGTCATCTGTCCTATCTTCAAAAATGGCGACAGGAGTCTGTCAGCCAATTATAGGCCAGTTAGTCTGACTAGCGTCGTGATCAAACTGCTTGAAAAGCTGGTGAGAGATTCGTTGGAATGTCACCTGAATAGATTTAATCTGCTCAGTAGTGCACAACATGGATTCCGGAAGGGATTTTCGTGTTTGACGAATTTGTTGATTGCTCGTGAAGCTTGGGCCGAAGCAGTGGACAATGGCCACGTGGTGGATGTGCTTTTCGTAGACTTCTCGAAAGCATTTGATAAGGTACCCCACTTGAGGCTATCACATAAGCTGAGGTCCTACGGCGTATCTGGCCGCGCCCTTCACTGGGTATCTGCGTTTTTGCAGGGAAGAGAGCAGTGTGTACGTGTGGGTCGCAGCTTATCCTTTAAGCAAGCGGTCCTTAGCGGTGTCCCACAGGGCTCGGTCCTTGGACCGATGCTGTTCTCCATCTACGTAAACGATCTCCCTGGAGAGCTTGGGTATCATCCCTATTGTTTGCTGATGACCTTAAGCTATGGAATGTTGTAAATGTTCCTGGGGGTTCTGAGGCCATACAGCATGCACTGGACAGACTCTGGGACTGGTCTACTTTGTGGCTACTGCCCATAAATCAGGCTAAGTGTTCCGTCCTTCGTATAGGAGCAACTTCCCGCCTTCGAGCTACGTACTCGGTGGGGTCGAACTCCCCCTGTCTCCAACCAGATAGACCTAGGTGTCGTTCATTCCTCGTCTTTGCATTCTGGTGACAACTGGAAGAAGGCCGCTAGTAGGGGTTTCAGAATGTTATGGTTAATACGCCGTTCTTTCGGGGTCTTAACTGCCGACATATTTGTGAAGCTGTTCTCAGCTTTCGTTCGGCCCCATCTGGAATACTGCGTCCAGGCTTGCGCGCCCTGCCTTGTTCGGGACAAAATGGAGCTTGAGAGGGTTTTGAGAGCAGGTAGCAGATTGGTCGAGGGGTTACGGGGGCAATCGTACCCCGAGCGTCTACTTAGCTTGGGTATGTATTCAATGCACTACCGACGGCTTCGAGGAGACCTAATCCTTACTTACCGCATTTTAACAAGGAAGGTTGGGCCGGACTTGAGCTGGCTATTTAGCCAGGCTAGGTTGCCTTGTCTTCGCGGTCATCCCATGAAGCTACACAAGCCGCGTTCTGACGGGATCAGGGCGGAAACTGGGTTATCGCGTAGAGTTATCGAGCGCTGGAACTCGCTTCCAGAAAATGTAGTCAGTGAACCTACGGTTAAGGGTTTCGAGCGTCAGTTAGACGCTCTTGGGTGGCAACACGAAACCTTTCCCTTCTCCTGACCATATGCATCTTCAAACTTTCAGTTCTTATTCTGTCATTATCTTCACTTTTTGGTGTTATCCTTCATTTTAATGACTTTCATTCCCCTTTATCTTCCATTTACTTTCTACTTCTTTCTTACTTCACGTAACCTACACGGCGCGGACTGCTAGTGCAGGGAACGTGGGCAGTAATTGGTTGATCAGGGTGTGTTTCGGGTGTTTCGTTTTAGATATATCATGAACTAACACCTTATCATTTCCTGGCTCAACGATTTGCTCAAGAAGGAACACTCAAGGGATTTTCCTTTCGTTCCAGTCCATCTGAATCTGAATCTGAACTAGTTAGCCCGTGGGCGCTACAGGTGTTTCGTTTTACATCCATCAAGTATTCGGAGCACGTCATCAATGCCTGGCTCAGCGATCCACCCAAGATGGAACACTTACTGGATTCTCCCAGCGTTCCTGTTCCAACCAAACTTTAACTTGACCTTGAGCGGGAAATGATGAACTAATAATCCTTAGTTCAATGGAATTTGACAATGTCAAATTTTTGCATCACGTCTATTAAAAATTTGCGAAATGGTCCTTAGAGTGTGTAACGGCAAAGAGAGCACGCCAATAAAAGTTTACTTTACCGCCAATATTACTATTTTCTTACCTGTCCCTTTAGATCAACGTGGTTAGATATATTCTTTACGTTCAAATGTTGCACACTGGCGTTGCTTGATTTCTGCCCCCTGTTTTTAGTGGCTCTGAATAGATCAGTTCAAGGACCGTAGTGTCCCGGGCCTGACGGCTGATAATCTGTCAGGCTACCTTTACACTTGGGTTAACCGTGTCACTAATATGTAGACGGAAAACCGCTGACAGCTGTCCCACAGATACACAACCAACTCTCGTTCGTTCGTCGTAGGCGTATTCTACGGTCAGAGCAGCTCCACCACTGGGAGTCGCAGTTCTTCCATTGTATATTCGTCCTTGTCATCTTCCTGTGTGTCCTTATATGGAAGACGAAAACGAAAGCATTAAAAAATTTTGTTCGGTGACTAACGTTTCAGAATCCGAAGCCCGGCATTTATTAGAAGCATTTGCGTGGAACTTCGATGTCAGCATACTCACATCAATTATCTTTTTATAACTTAGGAGGCGGTTGCAGCGCATTTTGATTCGGAAGCGAGTCCCCAGCCATCACGCATTGTCGATGATCAGTTAACGGGCACTGCACATAATGTCACAGGAACGTCCAGTCGCTCTGGACCGAAAATCGTTACATTCGATTCTTTACGTTCTCCAGAGTGAGTTTTCCGCCATATTCTTCCGGTTTTTTTCCATCCTTTGATCATTAAATTCATCGTGTGTTATCAGACATGGCTGCTGCTTGTTGGGACACTGCTGAAGGAGTTATGTGGGGTTCCATTCAGTCATATCGGCCGGACCCAGCGTGTATTGACGATCGCGGTAAGGAATGGATAATAGTTGAGTAAGAAAAAATAGCAGTTTAACAGCACGATTCACGGTCAGATAGAAAGTGAACCGGATGGACCATCAGTGTAACGCATCGACGATCGGAAGCTACAAACAAGCATAAAATTCAGTGTCACAAAGTGCTGAAAGCACAAATGTTTCATGCTCACTACGGGTCCACTCGCTTAAGGGTACTTGATTGATAACGGAATAACTTATGTCTGAGTTCACCTAACCTTGGAAACCAAATTCCACTGCGTGTTTGATAATATGATTCATTCTAAACTATTTGATGGACATTCTTCGGTTGTCACGATCCAAACGTCCTAGAGGATCTCTGCATGGAAAACCGAGTTAAAATGGGGATGGCGTCCGATGTGCTTATAACTCGACGGGAAAACGGTGAAACAAAGCTCCACATCATGGAGTTTCGTGTTGTGCAATGTCCTTCGAGAGCTCGTCGGAGACCGGTCCTTATCCTGCCCTGATTGTACGATCAAATCCAGCACACGGGCTGCGAGTCATGTCTGCCCATTTTCGTAGCATGAGGTGCGTTTATTGAATCCAACTTCATTCAGCATGTCTACATCCACCAGGCTACTCCCAGGTCAGTCACTGCACATCCTTAATCTTATCCTGACACCGACACTATCTAACGCCTCTAATCTGACTTCTCTCCCACCAATGGGCCACAGTAGTCACTGCACTTTTTACCTGGATGCAGCGCTTCCTTTCTTCCTGCCTAAGAAAAGCGGATAGCGTCCAAGACGACCATACCTCAGGATCTAGGTGTTGATGATGTCTGGAGTCTACGTTCCAGAATTAAATTTTTCATTGAGCAGGTTGTCAAACTCAAGAGAGAAGCCTCGCTCTAGAGCTTCCCTTTGGATTGCTAGAAAACTGCGGCTTCTCATGAATCAGCAGAGGAAACTGACACAGATTCAAGTACCCTCAACTTGCCTCTGATTACTCGAACTGCCGGGGACTCAGGAGCCTATGTTCCCAGGAAAAGCGTTTGAGTAGACAACTATGTGGACATAGGCTGGTCGAATAACGTTTATATAGACCCGAAAACTATCCGCTTAACAAATGAACCGAAGCAGACTGCGGCGTACCCGCTTTGTTATCCTACCCGACAGGTATTGCGCTCTATGAAGCAATAATCAGTTGTTGCATTGACTTGGGCATGTACTAAGTATGCCCGGTCACCGCTTACCGAGGAGGGCCTTGTTTAGCCTTCCAGATGTAGGGTAACACAAGGCTCGAGGTGGACAAAAGTTGACTTGTAGCTGGAAATGAAGTCACTGACACCGTCGGTCCGTTTCGCCTTACAGGCTGAAGTCCACTTGGCTTGCCTTTTGCTTGGCTCAAGACTTTACAGAATGGCTCGCGGTCAACACCGGTGGCGCGCCTGCTGCCGTCTCCTAGTCGGACTGCCTGTTTCAAGTGTTTATTGCTATCTGCGGGGTAATGGCTGATTGTGAGACGGAGCAGTGCAACCCACAAAAAAGCTGTCTCGCCGATGCCGTCTTATCTTTGTACAGTAGCCAGTTATTTGTGATGGTGTGTTGACAAGGTGTAGTCGCCTTGACCTTGAATTTTTAGAGAATTAAGGTTTTCCGGTAAAATAACAAGTTTCCGTTCCTCTTACTATTCTTCGTTCCGTAAGTCGTTATGGTTGTAAAGCAGCCAGGCATCAGTTCAAAATCCGATGTACTGCTATTGATGATGATGATGCGCTCTATGAAGACGACGGGAAAGCGGTCCTCCTGTCCCGGCAACACTCCTCCGTGTACTCACCAGAAATCCCACCGACTACCTTCTGTGAATCCACGCACTCCTACCGCATAGAACTTATTGAATTTAGCACGGCCGTGGTTATGAAACTCCTACTTGGACTTAGTCCGAACTCCTCATCTAGCCCTGACGGACTACATCCCCTTTTCCCCACGACAGTGGCTATGTTGCTTTACCCATCTGCCAAGTCTTTCAGTTGTCTTCGTAGGCTGATCATTTACCTGGCGACTGGAAAACTGGGACCATAAATCCCGATTACAAAGGGAGAAATCACCAGGACCCTGTGATTTATCATCCAATCTGCTTAACATCCATCATCTGTAAGGTTATAGAACAGAAACGCGCTCCACTGAGGCATTGCGACGCAAATAACATCACTTCTACTCAGCATGGTTTACAGAAGAAACTCTTGTTCCACCAACCTGCTATTGGCGAGAGCAATGTGAACAAGGTCCATTGATACCGGACAACGCATAGATGTATTTGTCGATTTTAGTAAGGCGTTCGATAAAAATACCACAACAGTGACTACTCCGGGGCTTATGGAAATCGACGTTAGTGGCAGCCTTCACTCGTGAATTGCCGACTTCTTGAACGGTTGAACCATACAAGTGCGAGTGAATGAAACGCCTTTCATGTCAGTGCTCGTGACTAGCGGTATTCCACAGGGATCTGTCCGTCGCAACGATACTGGACCTTAACGTGGGGCGACGGTTTGCGTACCACCTTGACCCATTAAGCTATACTGGGTGGTGCCTGCAGGTATCTTAAGAGATACTCCTACCATTTTGGTCAATGGTGAGAGGTCAGACAAACAGTCTCATGGTCCTCCAGGTTGGGGGGTTGAAATGGGATGGCGTCCATTTCTTTAAAACTTAATCATTGCCACCTCCCCGCTGCCTTGCGGACGGGCTTTTGAGACAAAGGCTTTGGATGAGGACATTAATCGTCCTCCTGTCTAGGTCTGCGCGCCCTGGCAATATCCCAGTCCACATACAACCATGACTTTTTCTTCCAACATAAACTTCATCCTGCATCGACCGTCGCGCAGATTATCAAGGGTCGCCTTATCTGCTGCATACAGCAGGGCAGATAAGCGAAAACATGCTCTGCTGGCGCCTCCCTTCTTTCTTTTTCACCTGTTTCTCTTACTCTCCTCCCGACCCCTATTATTAATCTTCCTTCAATAATTCCCAGCTTAATTGACAGCAACCGAAGTGCTACTGGAGTAGAACCATCTGCAGCCACCATCCCACAGCACCTATCGGCAAAAGTCCCTTGTAAGGCCACGCTGTCCCGTTTCCATGGCGACGTTCAACGTCGCACTCTAAGACAAACAGGTCAACAGGCTGCACTCGCACGCACCTTGGACACTGGGTATTGATGTGTGTTGTGTCCCAAACTACGATCAATGACCCTAATGGGGTTGTTGAATTAACTGCACCCGGCTTGTCCTCTCGTTATTGCTTGCACGCATCCGGAGACGTCGATGCAGCACTCACGAGTCAAGCTGGTGTAGTTGTCATTCTAAGCTCCAAGTCCGAGCCATCGTTGGTTGATTGGATTCCGGTGAATAGCCGTTTGACATCAGCCACGATTGATTCACGAACTAGTACAAAAAGCTGTTTGTTTGTGATTTCCGCTTATGCCTCCACCGACTGCAGTTCAAATGCTGTCAAGGACACATTTTATCACGAACTGAACGCGCTACTACGCAGTGCTACTAGTTCAAATATTATAGTACTTGCAGGGGATATGAACGCACAAGTAGGGCGTCTGAGCTCTTCAGAAGCTCAGCTGGGTGGTAAGTATGGGCTTAACTCCGAACGGACTGACAACGGCAAGCTTCTGCTGCAACTGTGTGCGGAGCACCATTTGTTTCTTAGTAGCACCGCTTTTAGACACAGTTTGCGCCGAAGTGCCAATTGACGTCCCCCTGTAGCTGGTCAGCGATGCACCCAAATTGACCACAGAGCCATAAGTTGCAGGTGACGTGGTTCCATCCTGGATTGCCGCTCGTACTGGAATACCTGCGTCGACTCTGATCATGCCTTGGTACGCTGTCGTTTCTCCGTGAACTTTATTGGGAAACGCACTAAGCGTCCCTTCCGATTGGCAACTGGGAAATTGTCTCAGCCCTCGGTCAGCCAAGCTTATCAAGAAGCCTTCAGACCGAACTTTCACTGTCTTGTTCTAATGACACAGCTTCAGTGGAATAGGATCTCGGCCGCCATGCACGACGCAGGAGCATGTTCTTGTGGTACTATTAATGGTCACCGCACCCGTCACTGGATATCCGAGAGATCGGTGAACCTGTTGGAATCCAAAAGAAACCACCAGGCTGGCTCTGAGCACAATGTGACCAGACGGGCTATTAGGCGCGAACTAGAGCGGAGCCTCCGTGCTGACAAGGAAGCCTGGTGGAAAGGTACGGCTCAAGAAATGGAGGAGGAGGCAAGAGCAGTAGGCAATTACCGCAAGCTGTTCTAGCTGATCCGCACCACTGGTCTCAGGAAACCAGGCGTCAGTGAGACAATCAGAGACCGCGCGGGTGCACTGATACCCAATAAAGAGCGTCATGTGGCTCGTTGGGCGGAACACTTTCAAGATCAGTTCAGTTGACCTCCTGCTCCCGGACCTGTTCCTACTCAGGTGACGCAGGACGAGCCAGGGACGGTTAGTTTAGAGCCTTCATCGGAGGCCGAGGTCCAAAACGCGATCACAGTCCTCAATCGTTTTCATGCCGCTGTCCCGGATTCCGTCCCACCTGCACTATTTAAGGATGGAGGTGAGGTCCTCCGCAAAGCACTGACCTCCCTATTCGAACGTATCTGGAAGGAAGTGTCCCGGCTGATTGGGACGAATGGATTATAGTGCCAATATACAAGGAGGGCAGTCGCACAGACTGTTCTATCCACAGGGGTATTAGCTTAACGCCAGTTGTGACAAAATTACTGGCCTCCATTCTCGTTTGTCGCCTCACTGTGGAACGGGAATCTCGGATTAGGGAAGAGCAGGCAGGTTTCTGCGCAGA